AGTCTTCCCCTTTTATTCTCATTCTTGGTTGAAAGTTGTGATTTTTGATATCTTGCACAGAGATAATCGATTTATGTATGTAAGACGTTTTCTGAAATTTGTTCAAAAACAGAAACCAATGAATCAGTCATTAAAATACAATTTGTGACACTATTGCCTGGTTCCGCTTTAAGTTGTTGTAGCCTGCTGCGGAGCAGGCGCCGGGTTTTATCAGGGCGAAGGGAGAAACTCCGAGGACGCACGCGCACGAGGGGAGAAAAGGAAAAGAGACAGACAGACTAATCCCCAAAGGTGCTTGTAGCCAACAGAATTCTACGCACTGCCAGAGATCAATAGAAAAAGGGAAAACTAGGGCGTTGACTGCAAGCGCCTCCTCTTCTCACTCCATGTCAAGGAAATCTGGATTCCGGACTCCGGGAAATTTTGGGCTTTGGAATCCGGATACAGCTCAAAGAATCTGGAACCCTACTTAAGACTGGAATCCAGAATCCAAATTTCACTAACAGTCTGGAATCCAGTACCGGGAATCCGGAATTTAGGGCGTGGAATCCAGAATCAAAGACTGTCTTGGATTCCGTCACATGGGGTGACTCTTCCCTTAGCGTGTTCCCCAACACCGTTACCAAAGGAAAAAAGAAAGTAAGAAAGGAAAAAGACGCTGGGTATTGATGCTGTTGTTATATTTTTTTTCATGTCCAAGGTAAGTTGATCTGAGTCTTGAAAGAGAACAATAAATCAATTAATTGCATAAACAGCTAGTGTCCCGTTTGCTCCTCCGACTGGTCCTTTAACAGGAACAGCCAAGGTATCCAGAGGATCTTTTATCGCTGCTCTTGTAAGCTAATTCTATCGTGGCCAACAAAAGCAGGGATCATGAGCATGAGTAGGTCAAGCTAACAGCCCTTGGGAAGAGTTCTGTTTTTAGGGAGTGAAGGCTCCAATATGAGGTCTAAGATTTCTATCCAGATCTATCCAAATTTAAAACACTTCTAGACTGAGAGGTCTTAAATTGCACCTACCTGCTGCTAAACGAACAGAGCCTTTCATACGGTCGGTTATGTGATTTAGCTTGTTTTCCTTATCAAGGTTCGTGACCACAGTCAGAGTTGTCTCTACAATATTGACACATATGGTAGTGTTGGTTTGTACCTGATGTCATGGCCGCTATGTTGGTAGACAAGAACAAAAGCGTTTCCCTAATCTCGAAACTAAACCTTTTTTAATGCATGGCCGCTTTAATTGCCACGCTGCAAACCACGAATTTATCAGTTTAAGGCTGGTGAATCAATCCTCATGAGTTTAACTTTAACCCAACAAGCCAGTTAAACGAGTCTTAAACTAATACAGCGGTTATTTCTTTCTATTTTGTTTGTTTATTGATCTATTATCATTTTTTACTTATCAAAGTGCAAAGGTACCAGAAAACTAAGGGAAATAAATGCAGTTATTTTTTTCTTAGCAAGGAGAAGAGCTAGATTAAGAGGATAAGCCAGGAGTTACAATCTTGGACAGAATAAAATGGAACATCTTACCTCTTCCCCCTCATCCTCCCAAAATCAAGACTGTGGGAGGGAAGGGGGTCTAAATTTTCTTTTTATTTTGTCTAAGATTGTAAGTTACATTATCTTTAGCCTAATCTAAAGTCTACATGATGGTCGACAAAAATTATTTTTGAGGCCCGGGTCCCTTCTCATCTTATGGTTTGGATCTGCAGTCACGTTAATACTCACACTGAATTGGCCATGGGAAATGTCCGTATTAATGGGGTGTCCGTATAAAGAGGGTTTTGACTTTGGAGAAAATGTAATGGCTTTCTATCTCAGGGACCAAGCAAACTGTCTGAATAACGAAGTGTCCGTTTCGAAAAAGCGGGAGTCGTCGGTGTGGAAACTTTCACATCTTATCGTGGGCCCCGCCTCAAGGTAGGGCGACGAAAAAATAGTCGTAAGGCTCATTCCATTGCTCTCCCCCACGGAAATCTTTAGTAAAAGGCGAAAGATTTTTTCGTTATGAAGGAAAACCAGAGATGCTGTGAAGAGCTTAGCGTAAAGGATTATTTTCAACCAGCCGAGGGAAACCTTGTGGGACAGGTGAACATTATCTAGATAAAACGCATGCGCCGAGAAAAAGGTAACATCCGAGAGCCAACTAAAGAATTAGGCCAAAAATTGATCATAATAAAAATCCGCAATTCACTAGACGTCCCTTTTTTTTAAAGAGAAACCTCCCCTTTTTTTGTAACGGCTCATCTGTTAAGCGTATGGAGTTTGAGTTATCAGTGTATTGATAAATGTGACTTCACATCGCCCACTAATACGATCATACAAACAGATCAAGTCGACCTTTTCGTCCTTGGGGAACACGCAGTTCTCTAGGGTACCATCACGTGGTCTGAAATGGGAAAACAAAACTTACCAGCTAAAAACGTCTATTAAACTTGTAGCTCAGGGGTGCTATGAGCTGCTATTTTGTTTGAAAGTTTGGTTACTTTTGGCAGTGGATTTGCCAACTGTTAGATGCCGCATACGCCCTGCATGCAGCGCGCGCTGCACCGCCGCAATCTCGTGGAGGATAAATGGCATCCAATCCAAATTTCCGTTAACTCATTAACACTGAAAACGTTCACTATGTCAAAGACGAAAAATGTCTTACCTTTAAACACAGTTCTGTAACTATCGGATCACCTAGACATAGCTAGCTGTGAGCAAGATGACTTTCGGCGCCCTGCCCCCTGTTTTTTTTTTTTTTTTTCTTTTTTTTTTTTTCTTTTATTTTTTTACTGATTTCCGCTTCCCAAGGGACGCCTTGCAATCCTCCTTGGTCATGTAAACAAGGGGAAGAAAAATAAGAAAACCCAAACCAAAAAAAACACAAAAAAAA